CAAAAATATTTGTTTCTACGTATTCAAAACAACCCCCTACTGAAATCATGGCACCTGATGGGCCGAGAGCAAATTTGTTAGTAATTGAGCATTTGTTATTGATAACAAGTGCTATGATACAGGGGACAGATCCCCTTGTAATGTCTATGCCTTTCACGGTTATCAATGTAATTCAATTCAATCCACAGGGATGCCAATTAGAATTGATCAGAGGACCTGAAAATCACCTAGAATGAGCTATTTTGCCAGGGCCTGAATTCAGGCCATTGCCTGAAAACTGGCATCCCTTAATTCAGTCTTCAATAAAATAGTAGCTTTCAATAATGACAATCATTAAAAAATAAATTACTACCCCTTGATCAACACTTACAAATGGAAACATTTCTAGACAATCGCCATTGGTCGAATGGTATAACATGGAGTGCGTAACCTATAACACAATCACAAAGATTTTCAGGAAACCAACTCCTAGGCAGTATGGAATACAGTTAGCGACTAAACTATTCATACCCTTTAATACCAAATTTTGTCATTTTTAAAGTATGTGACAAATTTATTTGTCTCGATTTATGTTTTTTCAGAGCGTGACACATTGAAGCTTTCAAATTTATCTGAAAGTATTAAAAAAAGGCCCTCATTCAACCACCCTATCTTAATTTTTGAGTTAAGAAAAACACACAAGAAGTATCAAATTTACAATTGGTATGAATAATTTAGTTACGATAACTGTTATAAGCTACTGAAATCGTGTGATAACAAGTTACGATAACTGTTATAAGCTACTGAAATTGTGGGATAACAAGTTACGATAACTGTTATAAGCTACTGAAATCGTGTGATAACAAGTTACGATAACTGTTATAAGCTACTGAAATCGTGTGATAACAAGTTACGATAACTGTTATAAGCCACTGAAATCGTGTGATAACAAGTTACAATAACTGTTATAAGCTACTGAAATCGTGTGATAACAAGTTACGATAACTGTTATAAGCTACTGAAATCGTGTGATAACAAGTTACGATAACTGTTATAAGCCACTGAAATCGTGTGATAACAAGTTACGATAACTGTTATAAGCTACTGAAATCGTGTGATAACAAGTTACGATAACTGTTATAAGCCACTGAAATCGTGTGATAACAAGTTACGATAACTGTTATAAGCTACTGAAATCGTGTGATAACAAGTTACAATAACTGTTATAAGCCACTGTATTGTTCCTAACTTTCGAACAGGTGACACTCAAGATGACTAACATTACATCAGGTTGATTATTTAAATGTTTGAGCGATCCATGTTTTCTATCAGTACAGACATTAAAGGGGCACGTTCCCGCCAGTGTAATTATAGGAACATGCCATCTGCGTAAGAGCCGTATTCTGTTGGTGTCAATAGGCAGCTATAGCCTGTCCGCCAGCGCATACGTATTTTTAATGCCCTCTGGAATACAGGGTACATGCCCCTTTAATCTGGGGAATACAATTTCTATAAAAAAGATAATTTTACAATGTTACAATCATTCCTGTACGTGTTACCAATTAGCAATGTCTTTAATATATCTGCAACTCTCCTACTTTGTTCAAAGGAATAAATAATTCAAATTTTCAAAAATTCAAATTGCAAAAAAATAACAATAACATAAATTAAAACATAAAGCAGTTAAGATAAAGGCATATGAACAGATAAAGAGTTCCATTCAGATATTCAGAAAGACTTGTCCACGAGTTACAATGCACAAGAAAGAAAAAATGAAGAGAGAGAGAAGAACAAAACATTTCGTATTCAAATATCTATGAGGATAAGGATGTTCACTTGAATTTTCACACAGAAGTTTTTGCCGTCGTATCAGGTATTTTGGAAATGTCGCTGTTTCGATAACACACAGAAACATGAAATACATATTATGTACACACCCCATGCCATATTAGGGCAATGATGCTTCGGATTAAGATCGTGTAAATTATTTGAAGAAAAATGAAATAAAAATGAACAAGAAGCTGTCTCCCCCTCCCCCTACCCATCTTTATACAATGAATATAACACATAATCGCAACTACTTTTGAAATATCTAAACCTGCTTTAGCAACCACCTGTATGGAAAGACCACTTGTCTACTAAGACCTCATATTATGTTTCCCTTGAATATGCTTTCTCATTAAAACCTGTACATAAAGACCACCTGCCTATAAAGACCACCTGCCTATAAAGACCACTTTTTGAAATGTTTCCCTTGATTCCTTGAATATGGTTTCTCATTGAAACCTGTACATAAAGACCACCTGTCTATAAAGACCACTCTTAATCTTTCCCTTAAGTGGTCTTTATATACAGGTTTTACTGTACAATTGGGAATTGCATTAGCCCTTGTGTTGATTGTTCAAAAGTAGTTGCAAACTCTTTATACAGGTCAATGACCTTTACCTTTATACAGGTCACTGACCTTCACCTTTATAAGGTCAGTGACCTTCTTCTTAACACAGGTCAATGACCCCTATTCTCATTTATATCAAACAGTAAAATGAGATACGCCCTTATGGCAGTAGTAATACGTTTACAAACACGGTTCTATCAATAAACCTACATCTTACTAAAAAAGAGCATACACCCTCCTTGCATTGAAGTGTCACTAGAGCGCTTTCGCAAAAACGACCGGAGAATTACAGCAATACAGCTCTTCCGTCGTGTTTAGGGAACGAGCGCTATCATGGCTACCTACGTACGGTCATGAAAATCAACAAGACAGAGAAAATTCTAGTTCGCGCAAGCGCAGATTGTTTTTTTGCGTCACGTTACCGTCGTCTTTGCGAAAGCGCCCTACTGTGAGTGTGTGTCAGGCCGCGTAGACAGACACATACAAGAGATGATCAATAAATTGTGATTGATACAAATAGAAAATTCTTCAGAACAGTTCATTCATTCAACGTCAATGTAATTAGCAAAATATCAAAATCAACGTAGATTGAATGAAAATTCGACAATAAAACTTCACAAACATTTTCTCATTTTGTTCTGAACACGCGTAATCAACCCTCTGAATCAGGCATCCATTTTGGACTAGCAAGAGGCTACAATAGCTTAGAAGAAATGAAATTGATAACTATTGAATGTTCTGTCTATTAAAGTCACTGTACAATATTCATACATCCTGATTGCCCTTTATGGAGCTTGAATTGTTAAAGGTAATACAAAGTTTTGGGAACTTTTGAAAATTGGGTGGACAGTGATTCTTTACAATTTTGATATATCTGGATGCCCCTGTGGATGTATTATAAGCGCTAGAAAATTTAGCCCCTAAAACGCTTCTGCTTTCGAGAAGAATTGAATATAAAAAATTACCGGTGCTCCCGGTAAATTTTGAGAAATTTCAAATAGCGCCTACGGCCGTACAATGGTAGCTGCGACCATGAAAATCGCAGAATATGTATTTGTGATATATATTATTTCCAAACCGGAATAGCTAATCAGTCAATTTTAGTCAATAAACATTGTTTTATAGCTTAATTAATATCTTGACCTTGAGAGGGAGCTATTCAAAATTATGTGTTTATTATTTACAATTTCATAACTTTAGAGTCGATTTCTACCGCGACAACGATTACTGAACATTGTAGGATCGCATCTGCTTCCAATATGTTCGTTTGAACCAAATTCATGACCCCATACCAAAACTTTGTGTTACCTATAAGCAAGTTGATTATTTGTCATTTAAATAAAACAAAACAAATATTGGAACATGGTTGTAACTATTTTCGATAAAAAATAAACAAAATATCTGAGACTTACACACAGTTTATGTATATGTAGATACCACCACTTGTGACCAGTTGGGATGCAGAAGGGTGCCAAATCTCTATTAAACAAAGTAACCTAGCACCCTTCTGCAACTAAAAAAAAAGCGATATAATACAATAAACAAACAAAAGATATAATAGAAATTATCTGCCTGTTCGTCATTTGATCCTTTGTACTCGAGGCAAACTTATCAATCAATCAACAAATTTCTTTCCTAATGCATTCACATGATCTGTGTTCCGTCTTATAGAGTGGTGAAGTGTGACGTCATCAAAAATCTAATTTTAGAATTTCTCAATTTTTTCTTTATTTTCCGAAAGAGCATCAAAAATAATGTCTAAATGTTGAAAGCCAATTGAATATGTTAAGTATTGGTTGAGATATGACCATCTGAATAAATATATGTCCTATGGGAACTCAGTGTTATATGCTCTTGCTCCTAGTGGTTAGGAGCCAGAGCATATAACACTGAGCTTCTATGGGGAGTATATTTAATCAGATGGTCATATCTCAGCCGATACTTAACATATTCAATTGATTTTCGACATTTGGACATTATTTTTGATGCTCTTTCGGAAAATGAAGAAAAAATTGAGAAATTCTAAAAATAGATTTTTATGACTTCACACCTTCGGTACTCTATAAACTGTTGCAATTAATCAAAAGACTACAGCAAAAACATCACTAAAATGAGATGCTGTCCTGCCATGGGGTTTTAAAAAAAAATTGTCACATCTTCCGACATCCGTCTGCCTAATGGTTGTTGTTAAAAAGACACAAGTGAAACAACAAACATTAACTACACAGAAAGACGACCCCTGACCTTTCTCAATAAAATCTCCACTACCAACCAACCAACAGTACATACATGTCTACTTCAAAGATACTTGACCTATGACCTTTATATGACCTTTTAGCACTGGGGTCATGGTGCTAAAACTGTTTTAAAACCAACCTATGGCGTTGCTTCGGGAATGATGAGGCTTGATTACAAAATAGTGATAATGTCCATATTGGGTAGTGATGTGGTCGGGGTGGGGGGGGGGGGGGGGAGGGGGCGTTTCACAAAACTTGTCATCAGTGACAAATGACAATTTGTGTTATAAGCTACTGAAATCCTTGCTTCTGATTGGTTATCAGCAGATTTGTCACTGATTTTTGTTATTTGTCCTTGAAAAAAGGCTTGTGAAACCCCCTGGTGTTTCTGGCAGCTTAAGTCACCAGCCTTAGAGTTCCTAAGGCTTGGTGGTTATCTTAAATAACTTGACACTTGACACTAACACTCAATTTGACCAAGATGCCTTAGTATAAAATATCTAAAGTGTCTACAAGTATCAATTTTTAGTAGAAGTTGATGACCTCAACTCAGAGCATGTTAAACTTTGCAAAGAAGCAAAGATAAATTGCCTGACCTAAGGTCAACACTGTTGGACTCCAGCATTTGCAGTCAATATCAAAATCCAGACTTGTAAATAATTGCTACCTGGTCTGCTAATTTTTTTCTTTCTTATATTCACTGTTGCTATGGTTTCCTAGAAATGCATCTCATGCATCGATTCCCTGGGAGTCATTTCATGTCTGGTGGCAGCAAACTCCTGGAGAAAGGCTTTAAAACAGTAGTGGTCCCAATATACATCCCTGTGGAACTCTCTCAACACATAACATGATTGTATACACTCTATACATATATCTTAAGAATAAGTTCATCTTGTGACAAACAATTTGACAGTAAAAGACATGAGAGTAAAAACATGCTATATTTGATCAATCTTAGAATAAGATGCAAACTCGTTTCTTGCGCTTCCCTTTCTTGTTCGATGCGTTCTTTCGATCTTTCTGTAGAGAGGAAGACAATGAGGAGAGAAAGGGTGGCAAAAGAGAGATAGATAATATTAATAATAATACTCAGTTTTTATATAGCGCTTATTAGAATCACTAAGCGCTTCCAAACTTGGAGAATTTTACCCGGCTTTAGCTGTGCTGCCATTGCGGCGCTCTAGCATTTCAAAGAATTAATTCCTGCCAGGTACCCATTTACATCACCTAGGTTGAGTGTGGCAAATGTAGATAAAAAGTTACAGAGAAATGAATAAATATTGAATCAGGGACATGGGAAATAGGGAGATAAAAGGACATTAGTTACATGGACATATTTCATATCATATCTTCATAGATTTGCTCATTTGCACATTTTTCTTCTTTTTTCTTTTATTAATTTCTTTCCACTTTTTATTCCGATACTTTCTAAACAAAATCTTTATATGTGACTCTCTATTCCCCTACATTCTCCTAAAACAGCGCCATGTACCCCCCCCCTTCCCGGCTGCTATCGACTCAAGCTTCCTTGCTTATGATAGTTGGCCTCTGCATTTATCTTGATTATTTTTTACTTACCTCCATACTTTTAAGCTTTCAATTATGTATTTTTTTTAATTTTGTGTGTATTAAGTTGTCACTCTTGATGTAAATCAATTATATTATATACTATTATTGTTATTTGAATGTTTTATATTTGATTTATCAATAAATGCAGAAACATCTGCTAAAAAAAAAAAAAAAAAGGGAGAAATGTGAAGAATTCTAGAATAGTTCATGAAAATTTGTGTCAAAAAAAAAAATCTGCAAAGCAATCATAGAAAACGGCAATGTGAGAGACACCTTGGCAAGTAAACCAGGGCCCCGTTTCATTAACCTTGTTATCAATAACAAATACTAAATATCAATGACAAATTTGCTCTCAGCCAATCAAATGCCACGATTTCAGTAGCGTCGAACAGTCATTGCCACTTGTTATTGATAACAAGTTTTATGAAACACGGCCCAGAAGTTGGTGTCCCATTACCTTTCTCCCCGATATGTCGGTATTGAGAGCTAATATTTATAATATATTGACTGGCTTTGAGCTACATGTATGACAATATTGAACGAGTCATAGACGAGTCTAATATTGTCATAGCGAGAGCAATATATTCTTGTATCACACGAAAACAAAGCCATATGATATTATTATTATTATCTATATCAGGCTGACTAGCGAAATAACAGAATTATGGCATTTTCTTGTGTGTGATATCGATAGCGATAGTCGAAGTTCCTGGATGACTGAGCAATACGAAAACAACATTGGTCAGTCATCCGGGTACTGCGCTAAAGATATTGAACACACTGATTTATTGTACCACTTGGAAGCCTTAAGAATATAATAATGATTAATATTGGCTACAAGCGATAGGGAGAATTGCGATTGAAACACTTTACTTACATCCTTCCTGATCTCCCTTACGAGTGTGTAGAAGGCATCGTCCTATTGAAGAAAAAAAAAGAAGAGAAAACACAGACAAAATATTATTTGATGATGAAATTCATGGAAAAAAAGGGAATCATCAATGAAAAGAATTAACATTTCAATTGCCTTCTTTGCCTTGCACATCTTCTGGCATGTCGTTTATTTTCCACATATGCAATTTTGCACAAAACAATACAATTCACACAATGGCTTTGCAAAATTACAAATTTCTGGTCTCTCTCTCTTCTCCTCCTCCTCCTTCTTCTTCTCTCAACAAATAAATAGGGTTCTATATATATATATATATCCTAATATACTTACTGTCCCTTGATCTGGAATTAGTTTTAATTTCTTCCCTGTTCCCCTCTCTCTATCTCTCTCTGTCTCTCTCACCTTCTCTTTCGTTCTCTTTCTTTGTGTCAGTGTAAGGTGTTCCATATCCCCTTTTCTCTCTTTCCCTCGCTCTCTCTCTCTTTCCTTTCCCTTCCCTTCCCTTCCCTTCCTTCCTTCCTTCCTTCCTTCCTTCCTTCCTTCCTTCCTTCCTTCCTTCCTTCATTCATTCCTCCCTCTCCCTTTCTCTCCCCATCTCTCTCTACAATAATACTTACTACTCCTTGTCTTGTCTTAGCTGATGTTTCGATGTAAGGTATTCCATAACTCTTAGCTAGTGACAGTCCTTGTCTCGTTTGCACAGCCCAGTTCGGCAAGTCAATTTTGTTTCCAACCACTGCAGAAAATATCCCAAAACCCAAAGAGAAACAAAGTTACTACACATAGAAAAGGATATCATGTGAAGAGATAAACGGATACAGAAGTTACTGGGTTTGTTTTTTTCTGTGTCGAGTGTGGGAAATGTTGACTCAATCTAGGTGCATTAAGTTCAATTTTTTTTCTGACTAATACATTATCTGAGTAATTCAAAGAAATACCCATCAAAAGTGCTACAGGGTATACATACATATGTGTTCACACCAGTCTTAAGCCTGAACAATAAGCCAGTTCACGGTTGCAGTCTGAGCATGCATGAGCAGATAAAGGTCATTGCAGAACAAATTGTGAAATACACAGAGACAAAATACTGGATACGTGCTCATGAAAGTAATGTAATCATTACTCGTATGCACAAGCAGTGCACTTTATGATACACAGGTGGAAGTATTCTTTGAAAAGGGTAAGTAAAGGCTATTTATATAGCATCTCCATTGCTGTAGGAGTGATTATTTCAAAATGTACCAAATGGGATGTGCTAACCGTGAACTGGGCCCCATTTCACAAAACTTGTCATCTGTGACAAATGACAGTTTTTGTTATAAGCTACTGAAATCCTTGCTTCTGATTGGTTATCAGCAGATTTGTCACTGATTTGTGTCATTTGTCATTAAAAAAAGGCTTTGTGAAACGGGTCCCTGGTCTATTCCATTATCCTGGAGCAATACTTACAGACCATGGGAACTTCTTCTGCATCCTTCACTCGTTTGATCTGCTCCCTGTACAGGTTGACATCCTCAAATGATTTCTCGTTATTGATGGCAAACACACACAGGAAACCTTCTCCCGTTCTCATGTATTGGTCTCTCATGGCACTAGAGAGAAGAAAAAGAGTGAAAATGGAAAATAAATAATAATGATAACGTTTTATTTACCCAGGGTAGCCACTTCAGTTATAAAACTGCTCTTCCAGCGGGCCCTGCATAACATAATATGTTATTACTACCCTTCTCAAATCTAATATGCTGAGCGCCTAGCTAGAAGGCAGAAGGTCCCATTGTAATAAGTCTTTGGTATGACTCGGCCGGGGTTCGAACCCACGACCTCCCGTTCATGAGACGGGCGCTCTAACCACTGAGCCACCATGTTACTTCATTGACTGCCTAATTCTATCATTTTCCATATAATCTTCAATACAGGAGCCCCCAAGTTCCCATACGTAAAGTGTTAAGATGAAAATATTGCTGTGATTTTGTTTTACTGCTTAAAGATAAAGTTCACTTCTGGTTATGCGATTGCATTGTGAAAAAAATGTTGTGGAATTAATCAGAAAAGGTTGATCATCTAGCATATAAGTATTGGTGTGTATTGCAAGGTTCTGGAATCATCAACATGATAAGAAAATTGGTCCAGTCTTGGCAGAGTAAAAAGCACTGTACACAGAAAGATGTATATGGGACTACACGAACATGTGGCTTACAAACCTGTCCCGATTTGTATGGTGTTACATGCCATATTTAAGGCATTTGAAGAGCCAATGCTTTTCAGGGAACATTTTTAATCTGATGTTCTTCCACACTTTATAATACAATGTTAACGAGGAAGAGTAATAGTATAATCTTACATGTAACCTAACTGTAATTTAAATCACAAATAAATATATAACCCAAACCCTAAATAAATAAAGAATCTGTACTATATAATACATTATACGCTGTAACCTCAGTATAAAGAGCTGTGATATAACGAGGTATCTGTAGATTTTGCTAGTAAGAGAGCTGCTGGGAGATGACTTACACGTAACCAATTAAAATTGTATTTAGTCCATTACGCACAGTAATTACATTATAGAGGGCAGACCACTACTAAGAACCTTCTTTGCGCAGATTCATAATGGCATGCGTTATCTTCTTCATTAATATTCATATGAAAAGACAAGTTGGTAAATAATGTATCGCTACGGGACTGTACAAACTCTTTGTGTGCTCTAAACGAAATAGGGTTTTGGATCTATTAGTGTTGTTGTGTATAGTGAAATGCATGAAGGCAAGGAAAGGGTTAAAGCCCCACTGCACTACTTATAGCTACTTGCCCCTCTATAAAGCAAACATTTCTAATCGGTGCCTGTTGGTCCCCATGATCCCCTTTTTCTGATGTTAATTGAGAGCTGATTTGATGAGAGAACCACTTGTCAGTGACCTTGCAATCCCCCCTGGCAAAACTAGTACAGACAGGCTTTAATAGCTTGCTACTGGTACATGTAAAGGCTAGTTCAGAAATGGTGCATTAAAAACAATTAAACAAAAATGATTCCCAAAAAGCTGCCTTAAAAAAATAAAAACGTGTAAATGAATGGCAACTGTCTGAATGCTCATTGAGCTCAGTGTTATAAGATACATTAATGTGAAAGGTCCCACACTTTGCGTCATCATAAAAACCTGTCGGGTTTTGCAACGTCACGTCTGGACGAGCCTTAATTAACCATTAACAAAATCATCAATCACTTGTGTACTGGTGGGCGTATAAGCTTGTACATGTACATGTACCTACATCACTATGTATACATGTACATCACTACTACCATCAGTGACATCTTCATCATTATAATCACCATTGGCATCATCAACATCATCATTACTATCATCATAATCGTCCTCACAATCATTAGCTTCACTATCATCATCATCACCACCACCACAATCATAAGCTTCACTAACACCATCATTATCACCAACACCATCTCACCATTGTCATCATTGTCATCATCATCTTTATCATCATCATTATCACCATTATCATAACCATCATCACTGCCACCATCACAACGAATGGAACCATCAACACCAACATCACAACCATCACCACAGACATCATCGCCATTATCAGAATAACCACTACCATCATTACTACCAGTCCACCATCCCAATTAAAAGCATCAGCACCACCACCACCACCACAACCACCACCATCACCACAAACATCATCAACATCATCACCATCATCAGAATAACCACTACCAACACTAGTCCAAAACCACAATCAAAAGCATCACCACCATCACCACCACCACCACAACCGCCACCACCACCACAACAGCCACCATCACCACAAACATCATCGACATCATCACCATCATCAGAATAACCACTACCAGTACTAGTCCGAAACCACAATCAAAAGCATCACCACCATCACCACCACCACCACAACCGCCGCCTCCACCACCACCACCACCATCATCCCCATCAGTTCTACTCACTATGTCTCTTCTACCAGCACCACCACCATCACCACCACCATCACCACCAACTCCACCACCACCACCACCACCACCACCACCACCACCACCACTACCACCCCACCACCACCTTCACCCCACCAGCCCCACCACCACCACCACCACCACCACCTCTACCACCCCACCACCACCACCACCATCACCACCACCACTACCAACCTGTATTCTTCTTGACCTGCTGTATCCAGGATATCCAGTAAACACGTCTCTCCATCTATTACAACCTGTTTTCTATATGAATCCTCTGCAAAATTGAGATGAAACAAAAGAAGCAAATATTTCAACGTGAATCTTTATACCACAGAAACCTGTGAATATTTCAACCAGAAATTAAAAATATCAAAAAAATATCTTCCAGTTCTAACTACTTCATGTAGTCCCCTTGCATTACCTGGAAGATATTTACATGCTATCCAATTGGGGTGTCTGTATACATACTTTTCTACCAGTATATGGTAGCTCATATTAGACAAAAAATATATATACAGTATATATAAAAAAAAAAATTAAAAAAAAAGAGAAAGGGGCGGCACGAAGTTGATTGTAGAACGGTTTCAATGAAGAAATTGCATGTATGACATTTCCAACTAAATTTATAGACTTGAACCAATGGAGGGAATTTTTCAAAAGAGCACATTATAAAATGCACCTGACTGTACTAATATTAATTCTGAATTCAGGCAATTAAAACAACAAACATTCAACTAAATACAATACATGTACCAGTACATGTATCTATTAGAGTCTGCACAAGTAACACAGTGTGTAAACATTTTACATGTCTACCCTTTTATATCATGCTTAAGTATCATACCCTTGATAGCAATTGATATTTCTTTGAAAGATGGGTGGTGCTATGTAATATTGATAACGATTAAGTGGTTTAGAATATTTCACGCTTTTATTTCACGCTTAAGTATCAAACCCTTGATAGCAATTGCTATTTCTTTGAAAGATGGGTGGTGCTATGTAATATTGATAATGTATTAATGATCAAGTGGTTTAGAATAACAAATTTGTATTGCATGATAACAGCAGAATTAGAAACACTTACAATACAGGCTCTCACAGTTGCATATGAAAAATCTACAAACGGTATCTTACAAGGAATTATCCTGTTTTCTGTTTTGTTTTGATTTTGTTTTGTATTTCCTCCTCCTCATCAATCGATTTGAGTCATCACACAACTCCAACTGCATGTACATGTACATATACATGTACATGTACATGTACTTTCCAGTATCCAGCATAACTAAGAGGCAGGTCATTGGCCTCTGCTTCTGTCATTTATTTTTGGACGAATAGGGTACTGTTTGAAAAGAAAGCTTAACCTAAGAACAGATATGGTCAGACTAATGTAAATGGTGATGAGGTGGGTACATAATCAGACAGGCAATCGGCTTGTAAAATTCATGGGATTCCTGACTGACCTAAAGGTTTACAGTTACGATTGCAGCATGAGCTAAATCCAGGATTTTTTTTAGAATCTGAGGCAAAGATACCCAATCCCTTAAATACAGTATACTTTGAAGGCTTTCTGTGACAGACTAGCCACATGCTTTTCTCTCCTTTTTTGTTCCAGTATCAGAAAACGTACAATAATCAAGGACAAACAGAAATTGATGTCCACGTATTCTTCAAAATGTTTGTGTTGTTGTGTCATATGGGATTCCTGACTGACCTAATAGTAAAGGTTTATAATTATGATTGCAGCATGAGCTAAATCCAGGATTTTTTTAAATAATCTGAGGCAAAGATACCCAATCCCTCCCTTTAGGACATTATACTTTGAAGGTTTTCTGTGACAGACTAGCCACATGCTGTTCTCTCCTTTTTTTATTCAGTATAAGAAGACCTACAATAATCAAGGACAAACAGGAATTGATGTCCACATATTCTTCAAAATGTTTGTGTTGTTGTTGTGTCATATGGGATTCCTGACTGACCTAATAGTAAAGGTTTATAATTATGATTGCAGCATGAGCTAAATCAAAGATATTTAAAATAATCTGAGGCAAAGATACCCAATCCCTTAAATACAGTATACTTTAAAGGTTTTTGTGTCAAGACTACATTGTAGCCACATGATGATCTCTCCTTTTTTTGTTCAGTATTAGAAGACCTACAATAATCGAGGACAAACAGATATTAATGTCCACGTATTCTTCAAAATGTTTGTGTCATTGTGTGATTTGTGTCATATGGCCTCATTAACTTGGATGATCAATGAAATGAGAAACCCATGGTCATATTGTTTACACCTAGTGGAAGACATAGATGTACATGTACATGTAACGCGAAAGATTGAATTTTGCTGTTTTTATAAGATGTGCATAAGTTATCAGGGATGCCAGTTAGAATTGATCAGAGACCCCGAAAAATCACCTAGAATAAGCTAATTTGTACACAAAAAAGCCTAAACTATTATCATTATAATCATTATTTTCCAACCCTACAATTGATAGAAAGAAAAGATTTTTTTAAGAATTGAAATATATCTAGAAATATACTTAGTCCCCATACACCCGTTGTGCCCTTCTGGTGTGAAAACAACATGCTGATCTTCTCATCATCAAAATAAAATTAAAAATGGCTTATTATTATTATTTATTCAGCAAAAAACAAAAAAAATTGAATACAAAACAAGAGTACATTTGGAAAAGAGTCACATGGATGCCGGGAAAAGAAAAAGATTAACTAAAAAACTGCTTCTTACCTATTGTAGGGTCATACTCGTCCACAAAACTGCAAGGTGAGAAGGGAGAAATATTTGAAAATATGATTAACTTCTTTTTTGTAAAATGCAAGATATTTGACATACATGTACATGTACTGATATCCGGGTATACACAGGTATAGGGTGCTCAATAGCTTTTACTAAATAAGTTTAATATTTCCATAACAACACCAAAGTCATTGTGTATTATTTATAGTATTATTTATTTTCATCATTATTGAAACTATTATTAGACATTATTATCAATGATCATCACTGAAATTGTTTATAATGAAAACCATCATCCCCATTATCTATTACTCCTTCTCTTTCACTAAAAAATGTTTATATGTATCTGTTTAATTCTACATATAATTAAATTGTTCTGTCTTTTTCGTACTTCCCTCAGAGAGGGCTTAAAGCCATTGGTCCCCTGGTTGCTTACTTACAAGTAGCTTTGTAGCAGTCAGGTAATACAAACAAACAAACCAACTTCTTTTCTTTTGTTTATAAAAGAGATGCTTTTATGTGATCAGTCTTTTTTTTTGGTCTCACAAGTGCGCCTTGAGCATTAGATTTCAAATAGATTTGGCACCTTATATATCTCATGCATGTATATCATTATAATAATAGTTGGTGCTTATGTACTGTATGTAGCGCTCACGTCTGTCAGATTTGACACAATCATTACCCCAGCCTTAGCATGGCTGCCATTATTAATTAAGGCGCTCTAGCATTCCAAGGAATTCATTCCTGCCAGGTACCCATTTTATGTCACCTGGGTGGAGTGTGGCAAATATAAATCAGAGTTTGGCGGGACTTGAACCGGGGACCTTGAGATCCACTGTCCTGTGACGTATCCACTCGACCACGACACACTCATAAGATAAATGTGTTATACTCACTGGTTTTGGATAAGTTGTATCGTCAATGCACTTTTTCCTACACCTCCAGCTAGAAAAAACAAAGATAAAAATACAGGAGTGTGTTCATTAGCATAACAATAACCTTGAGATAAAAAAAAAAAATCACACATGGCCTTGATCAGAAATCAATGACCATCAGTCCATCATCATTTTCATTTATATTTTAATACTGGATAAAAATGTATACCACACATGTAATGAAAGGTACCCGGTAATAATGCATGTACTTTTTTTTCTTCAATTTCCTGTAATTCACCACGTATGCAACTTATAATGATAGCAAGGAATTATCAAATCAGCTAAATTTATTGTGCTTCAAAAATATACATGTACAACTGTATATTTCACTGAAAGATTTTTGTATCAATGTAGCTCATACATTGTACGAAGAACCATTTCAAATGTTTTTATAGCAAAAGGGGCACTCGTATTCGAACATTAACTCAGCCAGATACATGTAGGTTAACAATAAAGTCTTTTAGTGAAATATACAATGTACATGTACCGATACATGTAGCACAATAAATGTACTGTAGCTAATTTGCTACTGGAACCATGGACTCAACTAGTAAGTCCATGCTGGAACTCTGTGTTAGGAGGCCTGCATGTAAGCCTAGGTTTTTGTTGGCTCCATTTTTAAAAGGAAATACATGATACCACTCAATTGTCATATGATATATGTAATCCTGAATAATATTTGAAGCACTTCAGTGATCATACAAACAAGTTGTAAATATCCATATGTATATGTCCACGTTAAGGCTGTGCACAACCATGTAATGAGGTACCCGAGTACACTACCAATAACCAGGCTTACAAGCGAATACTCAAATATTCGGACGCCATGTTTTTTTTTTATTTATTTATTTATTTATTTTTTTAATTTTAATTTTTTGCCACCACCATACAAACTCACAGTTTTACTTTGAGTTGCAGTTGAAGGCATCGATTTAATAATAATAATAGCATTAAACAATGCTGTTTTAACAGTGATTGAGCTTGGAAACATTTTTACCGACGGTACCATGCCAGCGCCCGGCGCTCTCCCTGGCACGGGTAAGCGGCGGCCTGGACAGTGCCAGGTGACCGGGAATTTTTTTATTTTTAATTTTTTTTTTTTGCGGCCAAATATTCGAGTATGAGAAAACGTACTCGAGTACATGTAGTTGGCAACAGTGCTAGTAGAACATTCGACTACTCGTCGCAGCCCTAGTCCACACGTATATGTCCACGTGTATATTGTGCACTCTTCCATTAAACCAATCATTATCTGAATTGAAATTTATCAACTCAATTTCCAGATAAATTGTGGTGGCTAGTTTGGAGAAAAAGTACATTTTTCATTAATTACGGAGGTTTCCCATTGAAATCTCTCGGGGCACTGACCAATTACCGGTAGCCTACATACACATGTGTACATGCAATGCATGTACAGTATGTGATGCACATTGTTTACTGCATTACCATGAGATACGTGAATCTCACAAATTCAATAAATCACCGAAATTGAGACCCAAATTAGTGCCCCAGGCATAAGTGTGTCTATACTCTATATAGTATTAAAGAGACACACTTTATTCCATCCCCCTTCCCCCCTCCCCACCCCCCTCCATTACAAGTAAATAGGGCATGTTTGAATCAATTGCTCCGATAGAGTTTATCAATCATTTGTGTTGCCACAATTTTGTTACATGTAGGTTTAATTGTTCTACATGTATAACCAGTGGAGAAAGTCTGCACATTTGCAAAAAGAAAAAATTGGATGAAGCCTAAATTTGCCTTCTCGCTTTTTCATGTAAATATCTGATATCAACTACTGTACATGTATTTAAAGGTAGTACGCTGTATCAATCAAACAATAAATTAATAAATATATAATTCAATCAATATATACATTAATATATGAATCAATACATGAATAACTACTTAAATTCCTCAATTAACCTATCAATCAATCAATAAATCAATAATTGAATAAATAAATCAAGAAATAAACAAATAAATAAACAATTAAATGAATGAATACATACAGTAACAACATGTACAGGTAATTAATGAATACATTATTACGCCCTAAGGCATGTATAAAGGGTGTACACTATCCATCAACACTGACTAGACTTAATGTACAAGAATTATATGTGTACATGTACATGTAACACATATAACCTTGTGTATACCTTTTTTTTTGGTACTCCACAGCCTCACACAAAGACAGTTTGCATGAATTACCCATACGCATGTATTGGACGGTTCAATGGAAGGAATTTGCATGATTTGGTCCGATGGAAACAGTTTGTACGATTTAGTTTAATGAAGTTTCATTAGTGGTATCTGTGGTTCGGGCGTTTCCCTCAATGCCCAGATACATGTACAGTGTAACCCCAGTATTTATTGATTGATACCTAGAAGGCTCGTTCTGACTCATACACTGTTGACGTTCCCAACCACGTTTCATTGCAGATTTCTTTTGTCTTGTTATGTCATTGATCCAAGCCGCCAGTCGTTTAATTCTCTCCCTCTATCTGTTCTACTCGGTCTGTTATCATCTTTCTTACTATCTCTGTCTCTCTCTGTCTCTCTCTGTCTATCTCTGTCTCTCTCTGTCTCTCTCTCTGTCTATCTCTGTTTCTCTCCGTCTCTCTCTGTCTCTCTCTGTCTCTCTCTGTCTCTCTCTGTCTCTCTCTGTCTCTCTCTGTCTCTCTCTGTCTCTCTCTGTCTCTCTAAGGGCGCGTTCATGCTTGATTTTGACGGCCAGAATCAGGCATCTGTTACGCGTTTAGTTTAAAACACGCTTGCGTTCATGCTCACTTTTGTAGAATCATCGAAAAACGGCGATCACGATCGCCGATCGTAAACTCACAAAAAGATGCGTTTACAATTTGTAAACGCGTTTAAATGGGGTCAACGCACTGACCTCTAGTGGGTCTACGTAGCATGCGCACACAGGTTTGCGAATCCAGCTGAAGGCCACCCAAGGAGAATTGCCTGGAGAAGTAAGCATGAACACTACATCGTGGAACTGCAATCACGATGAGCGTTTACGATGAGCGTTTCAGATCGCTCATTCTGCCTTCAAAATTTAAGCATGAACGCAGCCTTACACACACACACACTCTCTGTTTTAAAATCTCTCTTTCTCTCTTTGTCTGTCTGTCTCTTTTTTATTCTCTCTCTCTCTCTCTCTCTCTACCACACACACACACACACTATTAAAAAAAAAAAAATCTCTCTCCCTTTGTCCGTCTACCGTTATCTCTTTTCACACATGCATGCATGGACAGTTTTTTTTCTCTAATCCTCCCCCCCCCCCACACACACAACACACAGGAAGTTGCACACATGTAACAGAGTAATAACATACATTGTAGTTCACTGATTTGACATCTACAGTTTACAACTGAAATTACTGAATTACATCAATACCCCTTCTTAATTTGTTTTTTTTAAATATTCTTTGTACCTCAAGAACTAAAGGTGGACAGGTTGAATCAGCACCTTTGTTGAATGCTTTTTATACATGTTGTATAGCTTTGCCACACTATCAAGAAAATAAATTGAGACAAATACTTACTTACTTACTTAAAGGGATCCGGTAACTTTGTCTCAGATTCTAAAACAAAATTCTGGATTTAGCTCATGTGCAATGATAATTATAAACCTTTAGGTTAGTCAGGAACCCCATGACTTTTACAAGCCGATCGCCTGTCTGATTATCAAGATATTTATGATTGGAATTACAAATTTTGAAAACCGTTCGCCTGACGGTTTTCATAACACTACAGTCTATTGGGGAAAACAAGTATGGTAAAAGCCGGTCACTCAAAGATTTTTACTTTTTTGAGGCACTTCTTGATCATTTTGAAGCGCAATTTTTTTAGTGCTTCAACATTACACCATACCACAGACACTGATAACACGTAGGGCCGTGTATCTCAGATTTAACATTGTTAAACGATCCCTTTAATAATGTACAACACCTCGGTAGATTATGAATAATTTAGTTGTTACAGTAACCGTACATGTACTGTCCATCTACACTTGATGAAGTAGCCAGTAATTACTGTACATCTATCTTTAGGCCTAATGCCCCACACTTGCACCATGGAAAAATGAAAAGGGGGGGGGGGGAGGGGGTTATTTTAAAAATAATTTATTTAAATGTACTAAACCTGGTAAGAGTATGAATAATTCAGTTGTAAACTTTACATCTACTGTACACTTGATGATGTACAAGCCAATAATTTCTTTTATTTAAAAACTGTACCTGTTTCTTTAGGCCCCACAGCATGTACATTGTATCTGCAACATGGAAGAGAGAGAGAGAGGGGGGGGGGGGGGGATCGGAGAGGTGGCAAGTGGTGTGACAAAAATCTTTTTGCGCAAAAGATGATTAATTGGAAAGATGATCAGTCTGACCTCTCTCCAGAAATGAGAAAAATTATTGTTTGTCAGAAAGATGAGTAACGAGGTGAAAAATTCAATTTTTTTATATTTGTTATCAAGTCTTGTTCAAGAGCACTAAAGATTACATTTCTTGTAGCTCATATTTGCAAGTTTATAAAACTGATCCTCTAATGCTGGCAAGCTTCTTTTCTCAAGAAAAAAAGTAATACATTTAAAGGTAAGATAACATTTCAAGAAAAACAAATTGAATAGGTGTCTTCACTCACTGCCTGCCTGAAAAGGAAATTTGACTGTTTTGTGTTCTCCTTCTCTTTTGATCTTTTTTGTATGTTGTTCGTTTATGATACATGTGTATATATATTTTTTTTAGATAGTAAAATGTTTAACTTATTTATATTGGATTAGAATATCAGTGCACAGTGAACATGGAGAAATATATCCTGTTCCACACCCCCCCCCCCCCGCCCTCCCCCAAAAATAAAAAAATAAAAATTGAATTAAATTATTAATAAATAAATAAAGAAACAACAGCAAGACCACAGAAGTAGCCACATACAACTAGTATGAGGGCAATTAGACTCCTAAAGTGTGGTGTATCGTTACTCTTTGGGAGGCAGAAAT